CCCCATGATCTAACCTTGCTAACCAGTCTCCCATGAGGAACCTTGTCGAACGCCTTACTGAAGTCTATATAGATCACTGCTCTGCCATCATCAATCCTCTTCACTTCTTCAAAAAACTCAATCAAGTTTGTCAGGCATGATTTCCCATGCACAAAGCCATGTTGATTATCCCTAATCAGTGCATGCCTTTCCAAACACATGTAATTCCTGTCCCTCAGGATTCCTCCCAACAACTTGCCCACCACTGATGTCAGGCTCACCAGTGTGTAGTTCCCCGACTTTTCCATACCACCTTTCTTAAATAGTGGCACTATGTTAGCCAGTCTCCAGTCTTCCAGCACCTCACCTGTGGCTATCGATGATACAAATATCTGAGCAAGGGGTCCAGCAATCACTTCCCTCACTTTCCACAGAGTTCTAAGGAACAACTGATCAACGGGGATTTATCCATCATTATGCGTCTTAGACATTCAGCACCTGCTCCACTGCAATATGGACATTTTTCAAGATGTCGCTATTTATTACCCCAACTTCTCTACTTGTCTAAAATTATATGCATAGAAGATTTTTAACACAGCTAATTAGATTTTTAATTGCAGAGGAGAGTATTTTTTAAACATTACTAAAGAGATTTTATTTTAAATCACAGAGGAGACATTTTTCTAAAATTGTATGCACAGAAGAGAGTTTATTTTCATCATTGCTAAAGGGTTTTTTTAAAATTGTGGAGGAGAGTTTTCTTTTTTTTAAATAGAGTTGTGTTTACAGAGGTTTTAGAAAAGCCTACATGTGGCCAGCTCTGGATTGAGGATTTTTTTTTAAATATCAGAAGATTGAAAACTGACTGCTGGAGCACTTGAGGAGGAGTCATTTTTAAATTTGATTGTTCAGATGAGTAGTTGATTTTATTTAAGATTTATATGCTTGTTTTTTTAATTTCTTATTTTTTGCATGCTTAATATTAATTCTTTGGGCAAGGAAAGGTAGTTTATGTATAAGGTACTATTGTGAGCTGCTTCTTTCTGGGCTTAATATCATTAGGGCATACAAGAGGCATACAGTTAGATGGCTAGTGGATTTAGAGAAGTGATTACACAGCCGGATCAGTGAGATAGATGAGTGACTGTTAGGAAAGATAAGAAGGTAGTTCAGAAGTCCCTTGTGTTTATTCCTCTCTCAAACAGATATTCAGTTTCAGGTGTTGAAAAGGATAGCCTCTCAGGAATATGGAAGAGGCAGGGAGATCTTGGGCACTAAGAATGAATTTTATGTTAGACAGGGTTTGACCAAAATTTGAAAGATTCTGCAGCAGTGAGTGTGAACCTAGGAAAGTATGTTGCTTTGCTGGTGCCAGGATTAAGCATGTTTCAAAACATCTGAAGTGTATTGTTAAAGGGGACAGTGAGAAACCAGAAGTTATTTGTACACCTTGGTAGGAATGACATAGTTAAGGAAAAGATTAAGGTTTTATAGAGTGAATAAAAGGCTAGGTAGAAGATTAAAAACAGAACCTCAAAAGTAGGCATCTCTGATTTACTCTCAGTGCTAAGCTCGAATGGGGGAAAGAATAAAAGGATAAAGGAGATAAATCAATGGCTGAAGAGGTAGTGTAATATTCAGGGATTCAGTTCATGGATCATTAGGATCACTTCTGGGGCAGAAAACACCTGCTCAAAAGGATGGTTTCATCTGTACTGGAAAGGGACTACTATCCTTTGCGGGAAGATTTGCTTATTCTATTAAAGGAGACTGTCGCAGGAGTGGGGTGGCAGTGGTGGAGGGATCCTAAGTAGCAGAGCAGATAGAAAGGTGGATGAGAGTGATAGTAGGAACTGCAGCTGCTGGAGAATCTGAGATAACACGGTGTAGAACTGGATGAACACACAGGCCAAGCAGCATTAGAGGAGCAGGAAAGCTGAAGTTTTGGGCCTAGACCCTTCTTCAGAAAAAGGTGGATGAGGTTGGTTTTGAATCTGAAAAACATGTTATTTAGAAAAGACAAAGCCAGACAAAGAACAAAGTAATTCTGAAGAATTAAACTGCATTTGTTTCAATGCAAGGGGTCTTATAGGAAAGGCTGACGAACTCAGAGCACATTTGGAACATAGGATTGGGACATCATAGCTTTTACAGAAACTTGGCTGAGGGATGGGCAGGACTGGCAGCTCAATGTTCTGGGTTTCGGATGATGTAAAAAGGATAGAATGAGAAGCAATAGAGGCAGGGGTCTGGCATTTTTGATTAAGGAAAACATTACTGCTGTAATTAGAGAAGATATTTCCGAAAAATATATGGGCTGAAATTAGAAATAGAAAAGGAATGATCACTTTGATGGGATTATACTTTAGACCCTCCAATAATCAGAGGGGAATTGAGGAACAAATATGTAGAGAGAGCTCAGATTCATGTAAAAATAATAAGGTTGTAATGGTAGGTGATTTTAATTTCCAAACGTTGACTGGGACAACAAGGTTTGGATAGTGAAGAATTCATTAAATGTGTTCAAGAAAATTTTCTTTATCAATACGTAAATATTCCTAGTAGAGAAGGAGCAAAACTTGGCCTTCTCTTGGATAATTAAGACAGGGCAAATGACTGAAGTGATAGCAGGGGAACACTTTGGGTCTAGTGATCATAATTCTATTTGTTTTAAAATAGTTATGGAAAAGGATAAGCCTTCCATAAAAACTAAAGTGTCTTAATTGGAGTAAGACAAATTTTAATGGTATGAAACAAGAAATTTCAAAAATTGATTGGAGTAGACTGTTTGCAGGCAAAGGGACATCTGATAAGTGGGAGGCTTTCAAAAGTGTGACAGCGAGAGTTCAGAGTCATTATGTTCCTTTTAGAATGAAAAGTAAGGCTGATAGGATTAGAAAACAATGATGAGTAAAGATATTGAGGTTCTAGTCAAGAATAAAAAAGAATTGTACATTAGATATAGACAAGTGGGTTCAAATGAATCTCTTGAACAGTACAAAGTGTGTAGGGACATTCTTAAAAGGGAGATCAGGAACGCAAAGAGAAGATATGAGACGGCCTTGGCAAATACGGTTAAAGATAATCCAACGACATTCTGCAAGTACATTAAGAGCAAGGGACCAACTAGAGAGGGTAGGGCCCCTTAAAGATCAAAGAGGTTGTCTTTGTGTTGAACCTCAGGAGATGGGACAGAAATTAATATCTTGCATCAGTTTTTACTGTGGAGAAAGAAATGGAGGCTCGAGAACTCGGGGGGAATAAATACTGATGTTTTGCAAACAGTTCACATTACAAAAGAGGAAATGCTAGATGTCTTAGAAAATATAAAGGTGGTTAAATCTCCGGGACCTGATTTATTGTATCTCAGGATGTTTTGGGAAATTAGGGAAGAAATTGAAAAAATATTTGCATCATTTATAACTACAGGTGTGGTGCCAGATTACTGGAGAGTTGCTAATGTTGTGCCTTTGTTTAAGAAAGGATGTAAGAAGTCTGGGAACTATAAACCTGTGACTCTGACTTCAGCGGTGGGTAACTAAAAGGTAGGATTTATATGTATTTAGAGAGGCAAAGAATGATTAGGGATAGTCAGCATGGTTTTTTGCAAGGGAAATCGTGTCTCACAAACTTGATTGAGGTTTTTGAGGAAGTAACCAAGGAGATTGATGAGGGCAGAGGGTAGACAATGATTTACTTGGATGTTAGTAAAGCCTTTGACAAGATTCTGTATGACAAACTAATTAATAAAGTTAGAACACATGGAAGTCAAAGTGAGCTTGCCATTTGGATACAAAATTGGCTTAATGGCAAGAGATAGAGTGATGGTGGAGGGTTTTTTTTTGGGCTGGAGGCCTGTGAACAGCAGTGTTCCAGAGGGATCGGTGCTGGGTCCACTTGTTTGGAATTTATATAAGTGATTTAGATGAGAATATAGAAAGCATGGTTAGTAAGTTTGAGGATGACACCAAAATTGGTGGCACAGTGGACAGCGAAGAAGGTTATCTAAGATTACAAAGAGAGCTTGATCAATTGGGTCCATGGGCTGAGGAGTTGCAGATGGAGTTTAATTTGGATAAATGCGAGGTATTGCATTTTGGCAAAACAAATAAGGGCAGGACTTATACAATTAATGGTAGGGTCTTGGGTAATGTTGTAGAACAGAGACTTAGAGGGTTCAGGTACAGAATTCTCTGAAGTTTACGTCACTTGTAGTTAAGGCGGCGTTTAGCAAACTGACCTTCATTGCTCAGACTTCTGAGTATAAGAATTGGGACGTGATGTTGAGTTTGTGCCAGATGTTAGGGAGGTTTCTTCTGGTCATCCTGCTATAGGAAAGATATTATTAAGCTGGAAAGGGCTCAGTAGAGATTTACCAGAATGTTGCAAGGGTTTGAGTTATAAAGAGAGACTGGATAGTCTGGGACTTTTTTCACTGGAGCATAGGAGGATGGGGAGTGAACTTAGAGGTTTATAAAATCATGAGGGGTATAGATAAGATGAATGGCAGATCTCTTTTTCCCTAAAATGGGGCACTTCAAGACTCCTGGGCATATTTCTAAGGTGAGAAGAGAAACATTTTAAAAAGACATGAGGGGCTTTTTTTTTTAATACACTGAGTGGTTCGTACGTGGAATGAACTTCCAAAGGAAGTGGATAATGCGGGTACAGTTACAATGTTTAAAAGACATTTAGATAAATACACAAATAAAAAATATTTGGAGGGATATGGGCCAAGCTCAGGCAGGTGGGACTAGTTAATTTGAGATTATGGTCAGCATGGACTGGTTGGACTGAAGGGTCTATTTTAGTGCTGTATGACTATGACTATAACCCTATATGGCTATCACCTTGGTATCGGTGTGCATTGCATAGTGGAGGTGAAACAACAACAGCATTCAAACAAGTGTTATCTATTGAAAGAAATGTAAGTTACTTATAAATTCAAACACAAAGGTCTATCCCAACCTTGCTTTACTGATTTACAAGAATATCAAATGATTCTGTAGCAGTCATCTTACCATTCTGAAACAGACCCCTGTGTGGAAAAAGGAAAAGAAATATAGATCAGCCATGTTATCCTACTAAAACAATAAGCCAATATAATAAGTTAGATTATTTCATATCAGGTTGGTTTCAAGCACATAGAATTAAACATCTGCATATGGCTTCTACCTCCTGTCCATAATTGTTATTTCCTAAATTTTACAAATATTTCTTCCACAGATTGAGTGCACTGACTGGACCAGCATTTATTGCACTTTCTTAAATTACCCTTGAGATGATGGCTATTATCTGCCTTCTTGAACTACCGCAGTCCAATATTCCTATAATTTTCATGTTGACTTAAAACCATAAAATCTCCTATATGAACCTTTGAAAAATCCTTTGTAAACATTTTATAATTGGAAACTATAAAATTACAAGGGATTCATCACAAATATTTCATTCACACACTGAAAACACCTAATGTTTACCAAAAACAATTTTGGTTCCCATTTTTCCCTCCAACTTGAAATTTCTGTTGTGGGAACATTAATTCCCCAAGCACAATTGACAGTCAAATGGAGTTGGTGGCTCGTTCCATTCTTAGCACTAATATAAAATGAGTTTAGTCAACCCAGCAGCAACAACCATGTTTGAAGACAAAGAGATCTGTGCAGTCAGATTTCCAATATGTCATAAGGAGGAAAATAAGTGTATTTCTGGACTTCATAACGAAAGTACCATTCCCTCTCGTCACAAATAGTTCCCACCCCATCCTTGCAAACTGCTGACCATCCCAAATGTTTCCATATCTTCCCCATTTCTGGCATTAAATATCTTTCAAACCCAATTCACTAGTTTACAAGCTTTCTGGGTAAAGACCAGCCAAAACAAATTAGCCTAAATAAGGGTTCGGCACTGACCGACTTACAAAAACTCACTTTATGTTCCTGTGATGATAAATCTCTTTTCCTCCATATCTGTACCTCTCCCGTTGAGATTCTAGCTCTTTTTCTGGTTACGTTTCCCACTTTTCTTCTTACCCTCTTCCCTCCAGAATAACAGACTTTAGTAAGTTTTATTTCTTTTCACTCTCCTCTTTCATCTTCCACTATGTCCTCTTTCACAAGCCAAAAGCAGTCAAGCTGAGAAATGGATCAATAAATAGATTGGCAACTTGGGATGGACAGACAAGCTTGGGATGTCTTTGGGGCAAGAAGCAAAAAGGGCAAACAGGTAGGTGTTGTAGTGTGAGGTTTTCATGGCAAATGCCTGTGTCGGAAACAGGTTCAGTTAGGCTAAAAGCACTTGAAGGAAGAATAAACCGTATTTGAAGTAGGCAGGCCAGAAGTCAATGGAGCCAGAAAGCATTAAGGATAGGTTACTAGTCAAGCATGCATTCAGGAAGAGCGACTGGGATATCTTTGCAACATGCTTTTGCTACGCCAGTTGCTACTTAACCCCGGACAGCCTGCTTCTCAAGATCTGCAAACAAACTGTCCTGGTAAATATTGTTTTCAGCCTGTTCTTGGCCCCCAAAAGCTTGGCTTTACTGCTTGCCATTTTTTCTCCTCATCTCTCTCTCTTTTCCAACCCTCATATCTGCAACATTTTTAATGCCTTCTGATACATTGTTCTTTTCCAGTTTCCAAGCCCTAACAGTCTGCATTTCTCCAATGATGTTCAGCCCTTTGAAACCTCCATCTTCTACCAGGACAGCCTGTGAGGCTTCCTCTTTTTCCTTGAATGGAGGCCCAAATAGTTCTCATCCATCAACACACTTTTTCCACCAAACTAAGATTTATTCTTATACAGAACAGAAACTCCTTTGTGTTGAGGAAGCAGAGAGGCTGCACAAGGACTTGGACTGGCTGGAAGAGTGGGCAAAGTGATGGCAGATGGAATACAATGTGGGTAAGTGTGAGGTTATGCACTTTGATACAAAGAATAGAGGCATAGACTATTTTCTAAATGAGTTAAGGTTTTGGAAATTTGAAGCACAAAGGGACTTGGATGTCCGAGTTCAGGATCCTCAGAGTAAACATGCAGGTTCAGTTGGCAGTTAGGAAGGCAAAATGCAATGTTAGCATTCATTTCATGAAGTCTAGAACAGTAGAGCAGAGGTGTACTACTGAGGCTAAGGCTCTGGTCAGACCGCATATGGAATATTGCGAGTAGTTTTGGGCCCCGTATCTAGGGAAAGATATGCTGGCCTTGAAAGGTGTCCAGCGGTGGTTTACAAGAATGATGAAAGCTTGTCATATGGAATTTAGAAGGATTGGAGGGGGCGGGGGCGAGGTAAGAATCTCATTACGACTTAAAGAATACTGAAAGGCCTGGATAGAGAGGACATGGAGAAGATGTTTCCACTGGTAGGAGAGACTAGGACCTGAGTGCACAGCCTCACAATGAAAGGACAACCTTTTAGAGTAAGATGAGGAGGGATTTCTTCAGCCAGAGGATGATGAATCTGTGGAATTCATTGCTACAAAAGGTTCTGGAGGGAGGCCAACTCATTGAGTGTATTTAAGACACGGAGTCCTATAGATTCATACAGTATGGAAATAGACCCTTTGGTCCAGCTTGTCCATGCCGACCAGACATCCCAATCTGACCTTGTCCAGTTTGCCAGCATTTGGCCCATACCTCTCTAAATCTTTCCTATTAATATACCCATTCAGATGCCTTTAAAATGTTGTAATTGTTTCCACCTCCATTTCCTCTGGCAGCTCTTTCTATATATGCACCACCCACTGCATGAAAATATTCCCCCTCTCACCTTAAATCTATGCCCTCTAGTTTTGGGCTCCACCACCCTCGGAAAAATACCTTGGCTATTCACCTAACCATGCCCCCTCATGATTTTATAGACCTCTATCAAGTCACCTCTCAGGGTCTTGATTAGCAAGGGGATCAAAGGTTACAGAGAGAAGGCAGCAGAGTGGGGTTGATAAACATATCAGCCATGATTGAATGGCAGAGCAAACATACGGGCCAAATGACCTAATTCTGCTCCTGTATCTTATGATCCTTTCACCTCATCCAAATAAAATATACAATGGAAAACCAGTTGGGTCCTGGCCATGCCCTTTTTTTCATGGAATATGTTCTTTATTCTAACTCAGGTCCACTCTCTCCATCGCAACTGTTTTGTATTGCTTGCTGCTGTCATCCAGAACTGGAAAATGTCATCAACTTTGTTTTAATTTTTCACTCACTTTGCTTTAACATGGCTCATTTCCAACTCTTCCATCCTCTCCTGGACTTCTCTATCACCATTTCTGGGGACTGACTATCAACCAATATCAAGTACTTTCTTCCACCAAACTTCCTGAAATAACTCTCTGCCATTCTCAGAGTTTCTTCATCACGTGTTCTAACAATGCCAACTTACACAGCAGTGCTTCTGATTTATTTTCCTTTTTCTACAACCCTTCAACCCTGGTTGGAAGGGCTGTAATTGTTTCATTTTTGCTCTCAACCTATCCTTTCCCTTCAAGAATCAAGGGTGTTTTTCTTTCCAGCTCACCAGTCTCTACATTTACATATCATCCTCCATTATTTTCACTGCTTACAAAGTGAGTCAAATTCAAACACATCTTCCTTTCTATTTTCAGCATTCCAAATGGGCCATTCCCTTAATAAACTTATCCATTCCTCCATCAAAGACCCTCAAGCCTTCCACCACACCTTTCCATGCAAATACGGTGATGTATCAGACCTACCCTTTTGTTTCTTCCCTTCACACCATCCGGTGCCCCAACCACTCCTCATAACAGAAATGGCAATTTACTCAATTTTAAATTTAATACAATGTATTTATTGCTCATGACCCAAGCCTGTAATTCGTGTTCCAGCTTCAACAGCCAGCTTGCCAGGGAAGCAGTCTTTACATCAATTAAGGGCTCATGCATGTAAAAATGTGAACTTTAATCAGATTTGCACTAAGGTAAATTCAGGGCCCAAAACACCCATGACTCCTGTTCCCCACCTCCACTGGCAAAATTCAGCCCATTACCTCTGCTTCTCTTTCCACAAATAGTACCTGATCTCCAGCGTTTCCAGCATTCTACCACCCCCCCCCCCCCCCCCCACCACCTCCGCCCCCCCACCACCCCCACCACCACCACCACTTCTGTGTCAGAAATATGCAATCCTGATTTTTTTTTCCCTGTGAAATGACATAATGCAGTGGATAGCAACAAACTGGAAATCAATGTAACTAGTCATTAGATTTCTTAAGACCTAGGGACTACAAGCACCCAAATCCAGGCATGGACACAAAATAAAAGACAAACTGGAGTTATATCCTTCAGACAGTGCAGTAAATGTTATCACTGAGATTCTTGGAGAAATGAGCAGATTTGCAGAAGTGGGGTTATGCCTTTATATTTCAATTTTGAAGCTACTGGACACTGAGCATGTTTAGAATGCAGGCAGCTTGCTTAAACTGTTCTGAAGAAACAACTGATTAAAGCCTGCAGAGAAATGTTAATTTTAAGAGTTCTAAAAAGACAATGCAGGGAATATATTTCAACATGTTATGTGGAATATAACTTTGCAGTATTTTAACAAAATATTTATAATTGAACACAACTTTATTATTGATAGAATGTTTAATCCAGAAAGCATTTTCAGTGATTATTAACAACTTTTCTTTTAATTGTTAATCACCTGACTTACTATTGATTATTACCAGTTTTCAAAGGTAAGTGCTGTGCTGCCTTGCTTTTTTCAAAAAATTCCAAATTTTTTTTGACTCCAATTCTTAACTTCAGCCATAGGAATAATATTAAAGGAAAATAACCACGACAAGGAGAAATTGGCTATGACCAAGAGGACCTTCAGTACATTTTAGATGGTTACAGAAAATAGTCAAGCTTGACATCAACTCGAGTGAAAGTTGACGTTTGAGTGTCGGTAATGAAAAGGTCACCTAAACGTGAAAGGTTAAATGTTTCTATTTCCGCCGATGCTGCCAGACCTGAAATGTTTTCTATTTCATTTCAGTTTCCAGCATAATCTTGTTTCTGTGCAATAGGTGGCTCGATGCGTTTGCAAATTATGCATGGGGACCACGTGACACACCAATGAGCAAATGTTAAAGGTGTCTGAAAGTCGCCAGCGACCAGAATAGAAATAATTGACGACTGTAAACTTTTACATACGCTCTCGGCCTCAGGGGCTGTAGAAAAAAACACTTATTTGTGGCTAATCGTTCACAGCTTTCAGTAACATATGCCAGTTTCCCGGCTGCTTTTCCCAATTTTGCTTCTCAAAGACCGACTTTCAAAACTGGCAAATTACACACATATTTATTGATTTAGTCAAACACGAAAAAAAAGTGTTGCATTTTCCGCACTGACTCAACATTCGGTCTCGATCAGAAAAAAAGTCACCGTTGTTTTTGAACCAGCACTTTGCCCCAGTCCTGGCCTTTCTCTGTTCATGCAGGAGGGGCTGTTAGGTACCACCATCCCAGCTCTTTCCTATTTTAGACACAAAATTAAACCTCCCGGTTTTTATGAAATTCGGACGCGTATGTGTTCCACCGCAGTATTTTTTTTTAAAGAAAGATAAATAGCGGGTTGGAAGGACGGTGCGCGGCGATTTGTCCTGAGCTTATGCTGAAGGCTCTATTTTTATCCCCACACACTTACCCTGTACTCGGCCACTAATTTCATAATCTATCGATTTGAATCGCGCAGCCAGTGACCCCACCTTTGACATTATCAACAATAAACCGAAGCAAGCTGTTACTTTAGCCGCACTGCACATCAAACAGCAGAGACCAAGGGCACCGTGACAAGCCGTCTCCCCAGTAAACACACTCGACTCCTGCCCTCCCCTCACTACCTCCACCGGATGTTCTCAGTTCCAGCTTTTCCTGACCAACTCCGGTCACCTGGAGGCAGCTATGCCAGTGTAAGTGAATGGTATTAATCTGAAATATAAAGAGGTTCATCTGTAAACGCGACCTCTTCTTCGGAAAAGTGGCGTCTATTTTGGATTCCTCCATGAGGGCACAAGTTCCTCAAATCGTCTCTTCTGTTAAACCCCCATATGCTTCACGGCAATCTTTTCCATTTGTCTTAAATCCACTTGGTACAGAACCAATCTGTTTGATCTTTCCTCACAAGACAACCAAGCGAGTTTCTCTGAACTGCTTCTAATACAAGGATATTCCTCTTGAAATAAGGACACAAAAACTGCATGCAGTACTGTAGTTGTGACTTCACTAATGGCCTACACAACTCTAGCAAGACTTCCCTTTTGCGCTACATCTCCCTTACAATATACACAAACACTTGTGTTCCTAATTACTTGCTAACTTTTTGAAATTCACATACAAGGACACCTGAATTAGCTCCACTGAGGCCTGTATTTCCCATCAGCAAGTCACCCTTTATTTACATGTGCATAGTACTTGACACTGGTCTGGCTTTCTCAGAGTGAACAGAACCTCTGACACTCATGTTTACATTTGTCAACGCTCTCTGATTGGACCTGGTTAACATTCCCAATGAGGGAACTCATATTCTATGGATCCCTCTGGCTGACCTCATTACAACCACCACAACACACATATTCCTCCCAGCCTCATTATTCTGCAGTCTCTTTCTATTTAAATAGTACAAAATGTCTGCTGACACCAATGATCTGACTATAAATTCTGGCTGTGCATGCTCACCTCTGATTTTTAAATGTATTATGTGCAATATAAAGATTTTTTAACATTAAAATTTAACTTAAAAATATCTTAAGTTTTTTTCTTTTTTTTAAGTATATAAGTACTAAGTTTTTTTTCATTTTAAGAGTTTGTTACGTTTTTATCATTCTCTATTTCAATTTAAGAAATTTCACTGTGACTATGCGGTTGCCTGCAAACACAATCTAAATAATTCTGCTTTTCCGTTCTTCACGTCAAAATGAACAACCTCACATTTTCATGTATTATATTCCTTTGGCCAATTTTTAGCCCGCTCACCCAACCTATTTATATCCCCTTGCGGACTCTATGTACCACACAGCATTTGCTTTCCTGCCTACTTAGCATCATCAGCAAATTTGATTACAGCACAATAATTCATTTATTCATGTCATTAATGTAGATTGCACACACCTGAGGCCCCAATACTGATCCCGTTGTTACCCTGCTAGTTACAGTTTGCATCCCTGAAAATGATCCATTTATGGGGTTGTTGATTTGTTTGCTGAGCTGATAGATAGGTTTGCAGACATTTCATCACCATACTAGGTATCAGCATCAGTGCACCTCCGATGAAGCATTGTTAGTTTGTTTCACTTGTTATTTATGTTGTCTGGTTTGATGTGGTAGTTGGCCTCATTTCCAGCTCAGCTTCTTGGTGGTTGGTATATGGTTTCCACGTTTGTTCATGGAGTTCCGGATTGAGTAACAGGCCTCTAGGAATTCCCGTGCATGTCTTTGGTTGGCTTGTCCAAGAATGGTTACGTTGTCCCAGTCGAGTTGGTGGACTTCTTTGTCCGAGTGTACGGAAATAAGTGATAGTTGGTCATGTCTCTTGGTAGCTAGTTGGTTCTCATATATCCTGATAGCTAGTTTTCTCCTGGTCTGTCCAATGTAGTGTTTGTGGCAGTCGTTACATGGGATTTTATATATAATATTGGTCCTGTTAGTTGTGGGTATGGGATCCTTTGTTCTTGTCAGTAGTTGTCATAGTGTAGCTGTGGGTTTGTGTGCTACCACGATTCCCAGTGGTCGGAGTGGTCTAGTGGTCACCTCTGATACGTTCTTGATATATGGTAGGGTGATGAGTGTATTTGGGCATGCTATGCCTTCCTGTTGTTGTCTGTTGAGTAATTATGGCATACTATGCTTTTTGGATAGCCATTGTTTTTAAAGATGCTGTGGAGGATTCTTCTTTGGCTTTGCGCAGTTCAGGGGTGCTACAGTGTGTTACGGATGTCTCTTAAAGTTTTCCCAAAAACTTTAAATGATCCATTTATCCTGACTTTGTTTCCTGTTCATTAGTCAATCCTCTACTCATTCCAATACATTGGTCACAATGCCAAATGTTTTTATTCTGTGTGGTAACCTTTTATGAGGCACTTACAAAGTGCCTTTTGGAAATCTAAATGCATAACAGCTACTGGTTCTGTTCTACCACATATTTATTACATTTTCAAGAAACTCTGTTACAAATATAGGGTTTTATAGGATTGTTATGTTTTGGGTGTATGTCTTTAAGGTAAAACGAAGGAAAGAAGTTATACAAACTGTTCTGAATTTTGCTGACAGCAGACCTGAGAGGGTATTAAATATTTTTGAAGCCCTGGCCAAAGGTGGTTTTACAAGGAAGAAAGTACAAGGCATTCCATCTGTAAATAATGACCAAAACAGGTTTTGTAAAAGATTATACTTCAAATGATCTATTTGGATACCAGATAGCTATCCTTTTGACTCTCAATTTAACTAAGTAGTATTTTTTTCTTGGATACAGTATCCATGTGGAGGGAGATATTATGACCAGCTGAAAAGGAGTGAATCAGCTCCCCTTTTTTAATCTCAGTTGGCTGCAATAAAGATTTTTAACTCCTTTTAACATGCAGCTATGTCATATTTCAATTAAACATAGTTACTATATCAGAATTAAGATGTTTTCTTGAGTGAAATAAAGAACAATTTTATGATTTACTAACCCTGAGAAAATAATAAATTATGACACCCAATCCAGACACAGAAACACAAGTATAAAATTTAAAAAGGAAGCTCTATCCCAATAGGATTATAAAGAATACACAGTTTGAAATGTTCTTATCATCCTTGAGTTATTATAGTTGAACCCAAAACCACAGCTGTTTAACTGATGTCTCATATCCTCAACTGTAATTACATTTGTATAGTTATCGGTGAATTGATATTTCTTCATTTGCTTTATCAATGCTTTTGAGATGCTGAACGAAGAAAGGGACCAAAGAGTTTTTCATTTCTTGCTGTCACCAATTGATTTTGTTTCTTTCCATCTGCTAAACTACCTATGGAAATATGATTCATTTGTGTGTTCCAGATTAAGGATCTGTTGCATTTCCAATATAGTTAGTTGTAGGCAACCTTTCATGTCTAATATGTGCACTTATGGATTTTTATGATCATTGTAAAAAAGGACTATCAACACCTAACTCCATCATCTGTTCTAATATCCAAGATCTTAATGCATTAAAATGACTTTTTAATAAAGGACAAATACAGACCTAAAATGGCGGCTATAATCATCTGACCAGGTTGAACCAAGCTCAGGAAACCATTGGTGAACAATGATCAGTCTGAAGTGAAATTAGCGTTGTTATAAAAGTCATTGAAACTCAGATCTGAAGCTCCTGGTGGACTCGTACTATTCTGGAAGGTACATATTGGGATGAAAGTTGCATGCAGATCAGCTAGTTGCAAAGACAATAACTATAAACTAATTAATAATAAAGTTTCTGTAGATTGTAAGCAGGATGATGGGGCAGCTATAAATCATGAGAGGAATGACCAAAATTTGTAGATGCAGTGGGAAGGAGCATTCCTCAATGACTCAGGGACAAAATTGTAACTGAAAAAATGATGGAGCAAAGATGGTGCACAAGAAATTTCATAAGCTAGTACCATACCCGAGTCATGCCATATGATGAATGTTTGATATATTCTTCTAAAAACTAGATACAAACAAGCTGTTGAGGAAGCTGCTCACAAATCACGTGACTTTTGGCATTTGTCTGCAGAAATTATCAAGTCTTTGGACAACACCTAATTAAATATGAAGATAGGTGAAGTTACTCAAAGAACCTGTGAAATTCATATGTCTGATTATTTAAGGATGTGCCAATACCTAAAGACTATGGAGTTTCTCGACTGTCTCCATGTTTCATACTGAGCAAAAATATCAACCAAAGGGTTATGTGCTCAAAACTGGTTTCATAGACTCCACCTTTAACAAGATTAGCAGATCTATTGAAACCATCGGATATCAGCCAATAGACTCTGAAACTAGTTGTAACTCATCAAACAGCCAAAGTAATTGACCTCTTCCATTTTGGAAAGTCATGAGAACCAACACTCTAGATATTCAACTTCAAGAAATCACAAATCTTCACTTTACAATATTTTCACCAAAACTTTAAATCATCAAATTCTTTCAAGAAACCACAGATCTGTCATGTGGAGGACCAGAAATTGTAAATTAGAAATTGAATCTGTAAAAGTGCACTATCTTTATTCGTCACAAAAGATCACTGCTGAATTATTTCAGAACTCGAAGAAGAGTCATGTTGGACTTGGAACATTAGTTCTGTTTCTATTTCCACAGATGCTGCCAGACCTGCTGGGTTTCTTCAGAACTTACAGTCTTTATCATTCAATAGAGGGCACCGGTATGAAAGGATTCTGAAATCGCCTTAAAATCACACCCTAATTGCAATATAACAAAATAAAGATTAAGCACACAATGAAAAGAAGACTCAAGCACAAACAAGAAGCATGGAAGCAGTTTAAATTACCACTAAGCAGACCAGTGTGAAAAGGGTCCCAAAGGTTAAACAGATTTTAGTTATCTAAGAAAATAAAGCAAGGGTAGGTATAAATGGCAGCAGAGGGCAATTGTAGTGCAATAGTAAAAATCCCTGACTCTAAGCCAAGAGGTCTGGGTTCAAGTTCCAACTGCTCCAGAGGTGTGTAGTAACATCCCTGAGCTAGTTGATTAGAAAGTGATGATGACAGCAGAGATAGGTTTGGCATGTTCACACTTCTGTGGAGGTCACCATGATCAAGGATAACATCTGCCATGAATGTTTCCTGAACATCCCAGATGTCCTCCTATTTCAAG